AGTATTACAAAAATTGAGAATCGAAAATTTTAAACCATTATAAAAAAAAAAAAAAAAAAAATTGTTTTTAATACCTTTTCTTCATAAATGTTGTAACTCTCCTTTGCTCCCAGCAATAACATCATCATCCCTTTATCCTTACAAGACTTAATACTTGAGCCATGACCTATTTGTGCAAAAATATTATCTAATAATAATAATCACTGATATCATCGGTTGATCGATGTTTAAAGTGATGATATTTCCTTCGTAAGGAGTGCTCCGAATAAATTACAATTAATAACAACGAAAATGGAGAATTCGAATGTAGATCATGAACGAAGAATGCGGTACTGTTGTCGAATTATTCCTGTGCTTAGCATAAATGAGAATTTTTAATTCCTCGGTTTTTGGCACGATCATCTATATGGGCAAGAAATTCTAAATTTAAACTATAAATTGTTACAAAGAAATTACCAAACTAACGATAACTCTCCTTAACGATATTAGTATTTCTGTCTAACACGAAAGCCATTCCTTCTGACAAATTTCGCGTATGTATGCCAGCGTCTTGATCATTATAATAAGGTGTCTGTCTTTAAAATTCAAAGTCAAAGGCGTTTCTAATCTATCCCTTTCCAAAGCTAATTTACTGATTTGCAAACATACTATTTCCTCACAAAAGAATACGCGAGTCTTCTTGAAACATTGTCTACATATAGATGCTTGGTAAGTACCGTAGATCGGAGCTAGAGACGTATAAATTTTTCCTAGTTTTGATTTTGTGATAACATGTTTCAGCTACTGTAAGTTTAAAAATGAAATTTTTAAGACTTTTTTTTTTTTTTAGAATTATTGCTCGAGGTATTTTTAGCTAGATTCGCTCTAATAATATACTTACTCAATCGGGTATTGTCGGATTTAAATTATCACGTTTCAAGATAGACGCAATTGATTTTTAATATAGTCTTATCTGTCTTATCGCTTCACATCATACAGTCATCGGAGTACGTACTCAAAAAATGCTACAAGTTTAAGTTTTTTATTAATAAATCGCACGATCAGAAAGTAATAGTTCCGAGGTACATTGTACGATTTCGTTCAGAATATAATATACGGTATTAATATTAGGTCGGACTATTTAAACCCCTTTGGCGCTCTAGGTGATACTAATAGTACTTTGAAGATTTTGCTATTGTGTATACTAGTAGTAGCCATCATTTATCAGTACCACTGTGTATCATACTGCTTATACTGTAATTTTTTTTTTCTATCTACTTTATTCTCGGCAGACCAGCGTCTCTTGATTTAACAAACAAGTCAAAACCACAAAGAAAGCAGAATTTATACAACAAATGTCAAATAACTCACGTCAAGCTGCTTTAGAATCACCAGCCCGTGGTGGTAGTGGTGAAAATGCAAATTTAAAACCCGTTCAAGTGAAGTTAGTACTTCTTGGTAAGTTCAAACCATCAGAAACGTCTTGGTTAAAGTAAATTTTTTAAAGAAATTAGTCATACTTTTTTCTCTATAAAGTCATCACTACTTTTTACCTGTTTTTTATTGGAATTGTCTCAAGCATTAGCATTAACGCAATTTCTCTTGTTACTAACAGGTGAAGCAGCTGTTGGTAAATCTAGCTTGGTACTTAGGTTCGTCAATAATGATTTTCAAGAGAATAAAGAACCAACCATTGGTGGTAAGAATTCAGTATTGATTTCAAATATATGGATTAATAACTTTACAGTTTATTGTTTTTGTTTTTTCTTAAATTTCATATGATACCTTTTTTTTTTAAAAAAAAAAAAAACATAGCTGCTTTCTTAACACAGAAGTGTCGTTTAGAAGATAAAGTAATTAAATTTGAAATCTGGGATACAGCTGGTCAGGAAAGATTCCATTCTTTGGCTCCAATGTATTATCGAAATGCTCAGGCAGCAGTTGTCGTCTACGATGTAACAAAAGCTGTAAGTCGTAATTACTACAGTATTTTAATTGTCTGGTATAATTAACTGAAATATATTTAACTTATATTTAACATAATTTTGGACTTAATAATTAGGCCTCACTTGACAAGGCTAAATCCTGGGTAAAAGAATTACAACGTCAGGCAAACCCAAACATTGTTATTGCACTTGCAGGCAATAAAATAGATCTCGTTCAACCTGTTGAAGAAAGTGAAGAAGAAACTGGAGAAAGTGAGAGACAAGTACCCACTGAAGAGGCTAAAGCCTATGCCCTTGAAGCTGGCTTGCTATTTTTTGAGACTAGTGCGAAAAAAGGAGATGGTGTTCGGGATGTTTTTGTAGAAATTGGTACGTTATAAAATTATATAAGATATAAATTAATGGATGCAATATAATTTTTATAAGATTTTATGATGAATTCAATTTTATAAGATTTTATCATGAAATTCAATTTTATTTATTTTTATTTTATTTTTATTTTATTTTTATAGCAAAAAAGATTCCTCTTGAACATTTTCTTAGCCGCCCACGTCAACCGGGTGGTAACGGCAACCAGATAAACGTTGTTCAAAATCCGCAGAATAATAGAAACCCTGGAAATAGTAATTCTCCTGGATGTTGCCGTTAATTTTTTAGAAAGAGAGTTCCGAACCAGATGCAAGGTTGTTGTCACTCGGGTTTACCATCGTGTTTGAAATTGAGGTATCCGGGTTAAACAGGTTGCATAGATATAACACTTATGACAAACCCTATGATCCCCGATAAAAATTGTAGCTAATGTTCACTTGAAATATAATACGGAAGGGTGAAACCTGAGTTTTTTAGGTTACCTCTTTGATGCAGATCTAAAATTTTTTTTTTTTTTTTTATTAGGGTTAGAGGTATTGATCTGCATCAATAACATAAAAAATTCAGGTTTCACCCTGTCGTAATATAATTATGTTTTATATATAAATTATATCGCTTACATATTAATAACAAATGTAAAATAATTATTATAACAAAATCACGATTGCCATATAGTGACCCCGTATTGTGATAGCGATAAGCCTTGTTCAACTGTCATTTAAATAACTAATTTCTTACAGTTTTAGTCAACCAGAGGCATTTTCTGTCACGAGGAACAGATAAATGTAACACGAATTTATCTATGAAACCACCTGTGGTGTATGTTTTGCTTACCGTTATCCTTATATTGGTAAATTTATAAACAATTGAAATTTGATTGGCTTTATGGGATCACCTAAAAAGTCGTTTTAGAGAGAAATGTGAGGCAGAAATAAAACGTCAACGCAAAAAATAAATTCCTAATTACTTACCTATTTTAATGTTAATCTCTGAAAAGATAAATAAATGATTAAAAAAAGATACTATTTATCGACCCAAAATAATTGACTACGAAAAAAGAGATACTAAAGTCGGCTCTCGAGTCACGAGAACTCTAGCGAATCGCAGGCTTTTACGAGGCTGCAAGTCACCAATCAGAATTATCAGTTTCATTCGAGTCACCATTCGAACCACTCGCCTTCGGAACTCAATTCCATATTTTGATGTTCTGAAATGAATATACTGTATCTTAGTTCATTTGTCCAGAATCGGCAAATAGATACATTCCTTTAAAAACATTAATTGTTTATGATTAGCTTAGAATATATTTTCTTTTTGATATACCCTCCAATATTGCTTTCTTATCAATCAGAGAAGGTAAAATAAATCTATTTTGTTCCTTTTTTTTTTTCTAAAACTACGTGTAAATAAACAATGAAAAGAAAGCAGATTACTTGGTCTAGTTTGTTAATCTTAATATTATCACTTAGCAGTTAAATGAATTGAAATCACTTGATCCTAATTTCTTAATTTTTATTTACAAAGTTTTATTTTTATAAAATTGGCTAAGAATTTGTTAACTGTTAATATTAAATAAAATGACGTGATATTAAATAAAATCACAATTATGGAAATAGGGTCTATAGTTTTTAAACTTATGATCACTCTTTGGTAAACAAAAGCACCAAAAATCGCGCTTTTTCTTTTTTTTGGCCAGTAATTTCACATATAAAAATTTTCCATAAATATAATACTATAAATTGTTGTTTGCCAAAGTTTGTTACCAACCCTGAAATCAGACAATAAGAAAATGTTGCTTTGTACAGAAAGAACAATGACATTATGCAAAATGCAGATTTTGTTTCCAAAACTGGTATCTTAAATAAAAATATATATGTTTGTGTTTCCATTAATCTTGAAAAAAACCCTGTTTATTATTGAATTAGTATTTATAGTACTGTATAGCTTAAAAATACTACGTACAATATTTATATAATTATGTGATTGATTTTTAATTTTTTTTACTATATAAAAAAATCAATCGCACCGGGTACTGTAGCTACGTATACGTTACGTTCGTACGTGCTTTTGGCTTGCATTATAAGAGTTTTACATGATCATAAGCAAAATACTTGTATGTTGATGATAATGTTAATGGCGATTATACATTCCGGATAATTAGGTCGGAAAAATAACTTATATGCACACTTTTTAATTTGGTTTAGTTTTATTTCTCGAAACTGCTTAAAACCCTTTCTTATGCCAATCGTAATATATTCGTTTAATGAGATATACGCGCATATTTAACTTTCCTAGCATGCACCGTGCAAGAATTCCTACATATCTTATTATGTCTATTGATCTAGGGGTTATATTTTGTAAGGTCTGTATACCTGACAATTATATTTTAAGTTCTCCAATAAGAATGATCGATTAATAAACTATAAAGTACATAAGAATCGAGATGCTGTATCTAACATATCTAACATTACTAATAAAATTACTCTAGTAACTTATATGCAAATTACTCTAGTAACTTATATGCAAATCATGATCAATATTTGGTTTATCAAGGTCCAACGATATACAGTATTAATTAACATTATCTGTCAATATTTTAATTAGTTAGATTAATATATTTTAATAAGTTTATCTTATATGTCAATTTAGAAGTGAATATTGCCAATCAACTTAAATATTATCTATCGCCATTTTAATATTAGATAATGAAAATGTTATAACATACTGTACAGTTCATCAGAAAATATTATAGTATTTAAAAAAGTGATATTTACTAACAAACCTATTATCAATGTTGGTGTTGTACTTCGCTATTTGGCCGACCAATGGCCAAAAATTAGAAGTTGGTTCCTTTTCACCAAAAAATGGCTACCTATACCGATACAGTATATAGTAAAAAATTTGTTCAATTTGGCTATCTGTGGGCTGGATATTACTATTTTTTTATGTCCAATATTTAATTGGATAAATTCAAACCAGCTCATAACACGTGGTACAACCCAGGTTCGACCTTTTATTATTAATGTAATGTATAAAAAAAAAATAAACCCACTTTTAGTTAAGCAATTTACATATTATCAGTTATACGTAGCATGTTAGCATTCACATTATAGGATTAATTTCGATATATTTGTTATATTAAAATTTGAAGATCAGGTGTAACGTAAGAATCAAAACAATCTTTTTTTCTTTGAAGTTAGGGTCAGGGTTAGCTCAAAATTAGGGTTAGAGCAGTGCATAGTTTATACTAAAATTTTGTAAGAAATTTTTTTTATTAGAACACGAAGAATAGTTTCATAAGCAAAATGTTGAGTTATTAGCGATTTTTTTAAAAAAACTAGTATTTGTTTTGATTTCACGTTACACCTAATCCTGAAATTTAATTGGCTTTACAGGGTTGCGATTACAATAACTATGGTTACAAATATATGAGGGCTTTGCAGTTAAAAAGGCCGAAACTACCTCAGAAACAAAATCGAGTTTTTACTAAATATAAATAAAATTCAGTATTTGGTACATTTTTCAATTATAAATGAAACCTGATTTACTTAATAAAAAGTCGAGATAATGCAGCGTTTAAAAAATTGAAATCATCGAAGGCAAGGTAAATCATGGGATTATCCGATATATTTAACCAATCAAAATCGTAGTATTTTGTTAACCCGGATCAGTCTGAACAAAACAAAAAATTTTCGAACCCAACTATTTCAAAATTATATATATTGTAGTTTGGGCTTTTTTAATTGCAAAGCTCTTATATAAGTTATGATCTAGAAAAATAGGTCTTTGATAATTTTTTAAAAATTTTGAGTTGTTTGATTCAGATTAAAGTATTGATTTCTAACTATATATATTTCAATTTTTACTCAATATTAATATAATAATTTATCAAGATATTTTAACTTGAAGGTAATCTAATTTTTAAATATTCATATTTTAAAAATACAGTTAATTCTTTCAAAACTAGTTCTGTTAAAACTAATATTCTGTTATAATTAGTCAAATATCAATCTACTAAGTTTGTTTCTTATTTCATATTTGATAACTTGCAATTTTTAATCTAAATACTAAGGTTTCTAGATAGATTATTTGAACCAAATTTGGAGAAAAAGAAAAAACATAGAAAACTTATAAACTTGCTTAAGAAAGGTATCAAGAGCTATTAAGAAAAAAGAATCTCTATAGGAAAAATATAAAAACTCAGAAGAAAAAAGAAGAGCTAAACTATAATAAAGAACTTTCTAGACAAAGAACAGTTTTTTAACTAAAGAAAATTCTGCTAGCAAAAAAATTTTTAGAGATTTGTTAAATTTTTGAAAATTCTATATTATTGTTATACGAGTTGTTTGTTTGGATTAATTCAAAAGATTCAAGTCATGTATAAATATTTACATGAAGATTAGAAAATCAAAACAAATAAGTCATATTATATACAAATATACATTAAACCAAAACTAGATAACTATTAGAGGGTCATAATTTGTACATATAGTAATTTCAAATTTTTTATTGAGTAGATTAGATAAATTACAAGATTGCAACAAATCTAGATTAAGCATAATATAGAACTTCAACAAATCTACAAACTTAATTAACAAAATAGCACAACTATATAATAAAGAAATGATATATAATGAAAGTAATTCAGTAGAAGGTTTAGCAGCTTACTTAGACAAAATAGTTGCAAATATAATGCATATAGATAAGAATATTATAACTATAGCAAGAAAATATCCAAAAATAATCAAAAGAGTAGCTATTTCTAATAGAATTGATAAAGTAGAGCAAATTTTAAATTAGGAAGAGAGACAAACTACTATACTGTTACAAGTAGTATAGCCTTCTTAATATACTCTAAGTAATATAAGACACAGAAAAGAGACTTCTAACAGTATTAAAGTAGAATATTACTTCACTATAGCAATTCATTAGAAAAGTTTATTTTTAAAGCCAAAAGATTATATTTATTAATGAACTAATAGAGAATTTAGAACTTTATTAAGTAATAACT